TGACTGAGTCATTTCTGGAACTGCCACACGCAGCCTGTTGCTGAACTTGTAGGCTGAGTTCTGTAAGTGTTTGGAGAATCAATCCCAAACCATTTTCTGGAGCAAGACGGTTGTCCGTACACTGATGGTAGCATTTTTTGTAAATGAGGTAGAATGACGGGACTTTCTCAAACTGTGATTCAACTGTGACTTCAGAAAAGTGCTCATTAATCTAGACAAATCTTTTCTACAGACTCCAGGGTCATTTTAATTCTTTTGTTGTCCTGGGATTTTGTTGTATTAAATGTTAATTCAAGGGACTGTGCCATTAGTCTGAAGAATTCTCAGGCACGGATAACTGGTGTTTGAGCAGTAATTTAAAAAGGTATCAAAGGAAAGTTTGGGTTTTTTTTTTTTCCAGTGAGCCTGGCTGAAGTGCTGTCACATGGGGGGTTGTGCCGAGAACCCCCCAAAATTACCTTTCACTTCTTATTTTACAGACTTCAACAGTGCTTTAAGAGAAACAATGACTGCTCAGTATACACAGTCCATCCCCAGTGTAAAATTTATTAGGAAAGAAAATGATCCGTCTTGCCAACCAAAGAGTCAGGCAGAGGTCATTGCCGAAGTACGGAAGGCTGCAAAGAGGGGTCTGGATAATTAAAGCGGAATGGTGAGGCCTTGCCAGTGCTTGCTGCAGTATGTTTAAGAATCCACATGAGCTGAGGCCCTAAGTTGTCACTGGGAGCCTAGAGGATACCCAACTGGGGTACGGTTGGAGAATGTTCCATCAGGGAGGTTCCAGGCCACGGGCAGCCCAATGTCAGTGCTGCAGACAGGTCTAGACCCTGGGGAAAAGATGGGGATGTGCTCATTTAGATTCACCCAGCAGTAAATACAGATGGTTCTTTTTGTAGGCTGGGAGTGCCCTAACGGGAAGGTTGTTGAGGATGGCTATTCTAGCCAATCCACTCAAAGGAACACTGATGTCATGGTGAAAGTAAATGGTAGCACCAGCATCTCAGGCCCCCGCGTCTCTGTGGCAGGAGGGGAAATGGCCGGGGGTCACCACTCTCCTCACGAAAACAGCCTCATTCACCAGAAAGTCTGCAGGGGACTTGCAGGGGTTTGCTCAATGAACATCTGTGCAAGGGAGAGAAAGTTCTAGGGCTCTCAGAAAGTGTGCACCCACCCTGCCTGCCGAGGGGCAGCATACAGTGGTGTAGGCAGGGCAGGGCTGGTGCTAGGAACTGGGCGCCTCTGTTCAAATGCTGACTGGGTCCATCACTTCTCCTGCAAGTTCCTTCACATCTCCCAGCCTTGCCTTCCTCCTCGGTAAACAGGAAAAATACCCAACCTGTAGGATTATTTTAAGGATGAAATGACTTCATGCGTGGAAAGTAATTACAGCAGTACTTGCCCTCGGTAAGCTGTAAGTGTTCTTCAGTGGGCTAGGGTTCCGTGTGTGCGCATGCGTGCACAGGTCGGCTTTCCTCCTCGGACTGCCTCCCTGTCACTCTGAAGTTCACGGCCTTTCCCAGACACAGCCTCATCTGGAGGAACCCCGGGCTCATCCCTGCTTTTGCTGTCTTTAGAAGCAGCAATCCAAGCCCCTTTCCGTGGCTCCTCTTATCACAGCATTTAGGCCAGCCCATCCCAGGGAAAGGTCAGGGGGCCCCAGGGTGGAAGGCTGAGGAGGAAATGCTGGGGGAAGGCTGGGGGGTAGGGGGGCAGTCAGCCGCAGAGAGGGATGGCTCGGGCTGACAGGTACGACTGCTGCATGAAGGGGAGTGGAGGGTCCAGGGAAGTCAGGGTGTGTATCGTGGGGGGAAATTTTGCCCTTTCATGCCAGGGTAAAGGTGCTGATCTAGAGAATGGGCATGATCCAAATTGTGCAAACCAGCAGGCCGAATGTGGTGTCTCTCATCTCTCAAGCTGTCTGGCCTGCACACATCACCCTGTATACCACAGATTCAAAGGTCCAGAGTCATTTTCAGTGAGGCAGGGTGGTATCAGGATCAGAGCATTTCTTGGGCACTTTTAACATGCTCTCAGAATGGCTGCTGTGGAGACACGTCCCTCGTCCCTCCATGGCTCTAGCCTCTTCCCCTTTCTGTTCTCTGACACTTGCACAGCATGGGGCTGAGGAAGTGGAGGCTTTCTTTGCACTCAGTGGGGAGGTGGGAGTGGGGGGCTGTGGGCCCCGGGGGGGGGAGCAGTCAGAGAATCAGGATGTGATGTTGGGAGCACCCAGCCCCAGAGACGCGGGCTTCTTCCTGTGGGGACTGAACACCTCCACAAGGGAAGATGGGGAGGGGAGCCAGGACCACAGTTCTGTAAGCCCCTTGGGTCTCCGCCTGACCCAGAGGGCCACAGAAGGCGGGGAGTCCCAGGTGTGGGGTGGAGCCGCCACCTGAAGCCCTGTCAGTCCCCGTCCCCCCCAGACCAGCCCCTGCAGTGGGTGGGAAGTGCACCGGGAGGGATTCAGGCTGGACTTTCCCAAACACAGACCGCAGTCAATTAATGAATCTGTAAATGTTAACCGTGCCGAGTTCTTATGAAGTTCTAAAAGAAGCACGTGTGTCGACACTTGGGCTAACAACTGTCACGGCAGACCCAAGGGCTAATGGCCGGTGGACGTGGGAAAGGAGAGCCTCCCTCAAGTGGGAAGGCCAAGGAAGGAAGACCGGATGATCACACAGCAGCTCAGAAAGGTTAAGGAATTTGCCTGAGGGCACACAGCTTCTTAGTCACAATGCTGTTCTTTCCTTTTTCTTTAATTTAATTTAATTTTATTATGTTATGTTAGTCACCATACATCATTAGTTTTTGATGTAGTGATCCATGATTCATTGTTTTCCTATAACACGCAGTGCTCCATGCAGAACGTGCCCTCTTTAATACCCATCACCGGGCTAACCCATCCCCCCACCCCCCTCCCCTCTAGCACCCTCAGTTTGTTTCTCAGAGTCCATCGTGTCTCATGGTTCGTCTCCCCCTCCGATTCCCCCCCTTCCTTTTTCCCTTCCTTCTCCTAATGTCCTCCATGCTATTCCTCATGTTCTACAAATAAGTGAAACCATATGATAATTGGCTTTCTCTGCTTGACTTATTTCACTTACCATAATCTCCAGTCACATCCATGTGGATGCAAAAGTTGGGTATTCATCCTTTCTGATGGCTGAGTCATATTCCATTGTATATATGGACCACATCTTCCTTTTTCTTCTTTTTTTATTATTATCTTATGTTAATCACCATACATCATTAGTTTTTGATGTAGTGTTCCATGATTCATTGTTTGCGCACAACGCCCAGTGCTCCACGCGGAACGTGCCCTCTTTAATACCCATCACCAGGCTAACCCATCCCCCCAACCCCCTTCTCTCTAGGACCCTCAGTTTGTTTCTCAGAGTCCATCATCTCTCATGGACATTTTCCCCTCATGGTTCATTTTCCCCTCCAATTTCTCCCCCTTCATTCTTCCCCTCCTGCTATCTTTTTTTTTTAACATATAATGTATTATTTGTTTCAGAGGTACAGATCTGTGAATCAGCAGTCTTGCACACTTCACAGCGCTCACCATAGCACACACCCTCCCCAACGTCTATCACCCAGCCACCCCATCCCTCCCACCCCCCACCACTCCAGCAACCCTCAGTTTGTTTCCTGAGATTAAGAATTCCTCATGGACCACATCTTCTTTATCCATTCGTCTGTTGAATGGCATCTCAGCTCTTTCCACAGTTTGGCAATTGCAATGCTGTTCTTAAAGGGAGAGGAGTATAAGTACTGCTGCAGGTACTGGAAAGCGGGGGCCAGGAAGAGCCCAGTGCTCTGCCTAGGGAAAGCAGACGTGGGGCTGTGTGGGCTGCGTGCCCCGCAGGAGCCAGGGCTCACACCGAGACGGCTGGGAAAGCAGGTGAGGCCCAGCAAAAGGAATTCTATAGAGGTCTGTAGAGGCCAGGCACAGTAGAAGAAGGGCAATGCATGGAAAGTCTCTTCCGGTGTGGAGATTATGGATGGATCCATTTTATTCTATGACCTAGCCTTTTCAGTATTTTCCAAGCTTTGTATCATCTGCATGCATTCTTTTTTTAACCAGAAAAAAAAAAAAAGGGCCATTAAAATGAAAGAAAAAAATGCCCATTAAAATGAAAGAAAACAGGCAGAGAAGTCTGTAGTTTCTCTCATAAACACTAGAAGCCATTGGGAGTGTCCTAGGAGAGCAGTGCTTTGGGAGAAGGGGCGTTTGGGGAAGATAAGACAGGCAGTGTTGGGAAAGACGGTGGCTGGCGTGGCTGGCTGGGGGCTGCTGCTGGTGGGAGGTGAGGCAGTGGGGTATTTGAGTGCTAAATGGAGCGGGGGGGCAGAATAGAAACACCTGGGAGAGGTGTGGAAGGAGGGCTCAGAGGGTCTTGGGGACTGTTTGCACGTGGAGTGGCAGGATGGGGAGAGAGGCAGAGCCGGCTGCGGGGCTTCCAGCCCGGAGCAGTGCCCTTGGCAAGGGTATAGTAGTGAAGAGAAGCCGGAGTCCTTGGGGCTCGCTGGAGTTTGGAATGCATCGCCACTGGGTGGTGTCTGTTTCTTTGAGGTCTTTGCCCTCCAAGCAGAAAAACTTGAGGGAAGCAGGGGAAAGGCGTGAGTCCGCTTTGTGTCTCAAGTTCGCTACTGTGGGCATCACTCCTTAAAAGTATTTTGGGTCAGGTGATGGGAGCAACCTCACAAGTGCCTGTGGATTATTCTTCTAGGACATTTTATCTGAGCCAAATCAGTGCAACTCTCTTGTGAAAAATCCATTTCCCTGGAAAATGAAGTTGGGTTCTAAGCAACAAGTAGCGTTTGGCAAGCCCTGATGAAGAAAGCCAGTGTTTGGAGAAGTTGTGAAAACAGCAAGTCGTTTAGGAAAGTAAACACCGGGGGGGGGGGGCTCATGCCAGTTTAGGGCTGTGACAGCTCTTCTGTCCCCATCAAATGTAGAGCCTGACACTGCAGGTTTGTTTTCAGTGTTGGCTGTTGCAAACCCGTGGACCACCCAGTACCCCTGTGCAGGCTCTGAAAGGCGAGAAGGATTGAAAGTGACCCCAACTGAACCCAGTTTCCTTTCCCTGTTCAGTGTGTGGAAGATACTGAATGTCCAACCACTGGATGGAGGTGGGGGGGCACACCTGCTAGTCACCAGGGCATCTTGACTCTCATTCACAAAGCCAGCTGGGCCTCCGTGCAGCCGCTGACCACATTTCCCATGGGCTCGTGTCACTGGTAAGCATTTTCAGGTGTCTTTCTATGTACTTCTTGAAAAGCTTTCCATACATTGAAGTGTAGTTGAAACTCATCTGAGCTTTCCCTATTTCAACTAAAACCCTGTAGGCCTGTGCTTCTCAGACTTGGCTGTGCACACAAATGACCTGGTGATCTTGTTAAAATGCAGAGTCTGATGGGGGGTGGGGGGGTGGGGAGAGGTTGTCTAAGATCCTGCTATACCAACAAGCTGCACACATTTTCAGAGGCAAGGTTATGGAAGACCCTTGGCAACCCAAATCCGAATTCCCTAAATGGCGCTACAGTCACCCCTTCACATTCATCAACAGGGCTGTTTTGTGCGTTTGTTTGTTAGGGGGATGGATAATTGCCGTGTGTGAAGTACTGTTCTAAAGGCTGAGTATTGTACAAAGAATGGAGACTTTCCTCAAACTGATCCATGTACTCTTTTAAGTGAGATACCTCGTGCTAAAACCCATCCTTTTTTCTCCCCAGCAAGTCTGAGGGTACTGAATTTTTTTATTTTTTATTTTTTATTAGAGAGGGAGAGTACAAGCAGGGGGAGCGGCAGGTAGAGGGAGAGGGAGAAGCAGGCTCCCCGCTCAGCAGGGAGCCCGACGTGGGGCTCGACCCCAGGACCCTGGAGTCATGACCTGGGCCGAAGGCAGCCGCTTAACCGACTGAGCCACCCAGGCGCTCCTTCTGAGGGTGCTGAATTTTAAGAGCTAATTTGCTGCATGGTGGCAGGTGAGAAAGGCCGAGTGCCCTCTGCGAATTATGTTGACCATTTCGTCTGTCCTCACTGATGCGCGGACATCTCCAGGGACTCTGGGGAGGATGGCAAGAGGCAGACATGGAGGTGGCTGGGCCGCAAAGGCCGGCTTTCCTACCGGTAGACCCCAAACCAGTTTCTGTCGGTCTCCTTTGCGGAGAACTTGTTGGAACCACGGATTCATCCTGATGTTTAAGGCCTGTTGTCAAGCACAACATGGTGATTTTCAAAAACTAAACTGTTTGGGGGGATTTTACATGAGCCACAGAATGTGAAAGTAGTCATTTTTATAAAGTGCCTGAAAAAGCCTAGTAATTATTGTTCCAAACAAGTCGCTCTTTCTCTTCAGTTTGTCTGACATGGAAAGAAAAAGAAAATCCTTTCCAAGTGAGCGGTCTCTTAGTGAGCTGTGCCAGCCCTGGCTGGCTCCAGGTCAGTGGGGGATGGAGGACCCCTGCTTTTTCCACCAGCTGCATCTTGTCCCGAAGAACAAAAACGCCCCTCAGAGCAGCTATCTCTGGTGGGAGAACATGTTTACATTCGCCGGGCTCTGTGTTTTACGGTTTTCGAGAGGGGACTGTGGTGGGCATGAAGGTGAATTTTTTTTTTCTTACATCTAAACAGTAAATGAAATATCGCTGTAATCTCTTACTGAGCTCATGGAAAAACTCAAGTCATTGAATGTTAGCTTTACAGATGAGGGAAGTTTTACAGAGAGATTACCTGACTTGCTCCAAAGCCCATAAATCTTGCTACAGGGAGAGCTGGGCCGGGAAGGCGGGGCTCCCGGGGCTCTGACACACAAGAGGCATCTTCCCTACAGTTGAGATGCATCCCGTGCTCTGGCCCCAGGGGAAAATTTCAAGCCTGAGCTTGGATCTCTCTGAGGGCTTTCTCATGTCCTCGGCCAAGCAGTCATGTTGAAACAGAGAAATGTTCTGCTTGAAATTAATTAAATGATCATTTTCACATGATTGCTTCTGTTCTTGCTAATCAGTGACTTCTATTATATAGAACCATTACCGGGGAGAAGCAAGCAATTCATACTTATTGCCCGCTTTACTTGAGTTACATAATGTAATCTACCCTAAAGTCCTGTGAGGTAGGTTTCATTAGCATGTCTATGAGATAAGTAGCAACGGAAGTTCAGAGGAGTTGAACAACTTGCCCAAGGCCACACAGCTTATAAGTAGGAGGACTGGGATTTAAACTCAGGCCACCTGCCTCCAGCACCTGGAGTCCACAGCTCTGCTCTACCAATGCCGTTACTTAGGCAAGGCTGGCTATCTACCGGGTGGTCCCTGGTGTGGGCACTCCCTCGATAAAGGTGAACCATCAAGCAAAATCGCCAAGGGCCACTTCCCGCCTTTCCTTCCCAGAAACTTCCTATTGTTTCTTACCCTACCGTTGTTGTCAAAACCACCCCACATTTATAAAGGAGTTATTTTAAAGCAGCTCAGGCTCAGATGCCTGTCCCTGGAGGCTGCTGTGTGCTCAGACCTCAGTCCAGCCAATGCAGCCTTCCCAGCTGGTGATCTGAGCAGCCATCCAGACTGACTCACTGAGTGGGGTCATTGCCAAAGACACCTCACTCTTTGTGTGACCCTGGCTGAGCAGAAAGTCAACGGATAGGATTTTTTGGTGTGGAAATCATCAAAATCATTCTTCCTATCCTGTTCTCTGGATTTTCTCCCAGAGGCTCCAGAAAAAAAGGAAATTGATAATAAACCCCACAATGAGGAAAAGAATTCACAGATCAAGTGGAGCTAAATCCCAGACACTCGAACCCAGAACCCGAGGCAGCAGGAGAGACATTCTCCTCTCTCGGAAAGTTGTTTTTGAGAAAGTTCATTTATTCCAGGCTGAGGTATGTGCTTGATAGTGCTCACCAGCGGGCAGAATGAACCCTATCTGGATAGAGACAGGCAAAGGGAATAGTTTCCCCAAAGTGGCAGAGGCCCCCACAGCTCTCCAGGAGAGTGAATGTCCCACCCCTTCCTTCTGGGGAGTTGGGGGGTCGGGAGATAGGGAGGCCATCAGGGAAGGACCTGGCTCTCCCCATGGTCAAGGCCATCCCACATTATCCCCTAGTCTTCAACGCAGAAGATACAAGCCGGGGTTCCAGAAAACTCTCTACAGCCTTCTGGTCTTTGGTTTCCCAAGTGCCAACCAGAGGCTAGCACCCACTCAGTGATAGGATCCAGCTGGAACTCTCTGCCCCACCTGGCAATGGTGGTGGCTCACTGAAATCCTCCTCTCCATTGGCTTCTCTGCAGGGTTCCTTCTCCGCCTGCCCCTCAGCCTCTCAGATGGATCCTCCCCAGGGCCTGGACCTGCTTCCTCTTCCCCCTTCTCCTTGCTTTTCCTCCTTCTCTTTTCCAACAGAGGTGCCCCAGAGACCTTGTCTAGTCCACCACACATGCTAGTGTGGTGACTCAAATCTGTATCTCCAGTCCTCATGCCTCCCCTGGACTCCAGCTCTGTAAAGGCAGCTCCTTCCAGGACCTCTCCACCTGGAAATGCAGGTGGCTCAGCAGGCAATGATGTGAACACACCCGGAGTCACACCTCACCCCCCACTGGCACCCCAATGTGCGCCTTCCCAGTGTGCTCATCGCGCATCCAGTCATCCCAGCTGCAAGCCTTGGTTGTCTCTTACCACCGGCCTCACTCCCTTACTCTCCAATGCCCACGGGATTCCCAAGTCTAGTCGAGGCTACCCTGCAATCTCCCTAAAACCTGTCCTCTCCTCCCTACTCCCTCTGTTCCCCCAACTCAGGCCCCCAATAGCTTTTACTGCCCTATAAATAGGAGGTGCCCCTGCCCCCATCCCCTCAACTGCTCTGCTCCATGACTCTCCCTGTACCCCCCACTCTGATTATCCCTCTTTTTCTTCTTTTCCATCAGCGTTCTAACATGTCCAAGCCTCTCTTGATTTTGTCTTCCCCTGACTTTCCCCTTCCCCTTCCCTTCCCAGACAAGATTCTTGAAAGAATCGTCTATACTCTGTCCTTGCGTCTCCACCCTGCCCACCCTCTGTCAAACCACCACAGTCTGGCTTCAGCCATCCTGCTGCCCACAGCCAAGTCCCCAGGGGCTCTCTGTTTGCAACACAGCAGGCTCTTTGGGTCTGTCACGTGGGCAACATAACTGCGAACAGCCCCTCCTTATGGGCCCCCCTCCCCAGTGACAGCTGCACACTCCCCATCTCCTTCTGCTCCCCTGTCAGCTCCGTCACCTGCTTTGTGGCTGCTCTGTGCCCTGCGTCCTCACCATCACAGCCATCACCCATCTCCTGCTCTGTCTGCCCTCCCCAAGAGTTCATGCACTCCCACAGCTTTGGCTTCACGTGTGCCCAGGGTGACTCCCACATGTGAATCTCCACCGCCTCCCTCCTGGAGAGCCACATCCTACGTCCAGCTGTCTGTGGGACACTCCACCTGGATGAATCACAAGCACGTCAAACTCTGTGTCCAAAACTACTTACCCTCTCCTGGCAAACCCGCAACCCCATTCATGTCCCTTATTGTAAAAATGGTATGGCCACCCACCAAGATGCCCATGCCAAGAGCACCTTAGTCACTGTGCCTTCTCCCCTCCTTCTTACAGCCTCCAAGTCCTGCTGAGTCTGTTACCTCCTACACACTCCTCGAGTCTGCCCACCTCTCTGCCTGCCCACCTCCACCACTGATGGTCCCGCTCTCATGTGGCCGCTCTCCTAGTCACCTGACCTTCCTGCCTCCAGTCTGGCCCTGCTTTATCTGAGCGTCTCTTAGCCTGTAGCCTGTTCCTGACACTGATCATGTCATTTTCCTGCTTTTCCATCACCAGCACAACTCTTAGCTTGGGTCTGGGCCCTGCGATACACCTTCCAGCCTCCCCATGCTTCAGCCAACAGGACAACTCGGGTTCCCTGAACACATGCCTCATTTTGCTAATCAACTCTTTCTCACCCTCAGGCCTAAGAGCAGGTGTCACTTCCATAGGGCCAGGTGCCTCCTTAGGGCTCCCAAGGCCCCAGCTGTCCCTCTCCATGGCATATTGTTGGCTGGTGGCTGTCCGAACTGTGAGCTTTTTCAGAAAGAGCCTAGATGTCATTCACCAAGCCATCATTGTCTCCCCAGGGCTAACAGCCCCGGGAACCTGGTAGGTGATTAATAGGTGCTTGGGCGAATACTGACGGCCCTTCCCATGTGAGGATTTGCAGAGGTGCTCAGAGCCCCTCCAGG